CAAACAGTGTTCCCAGTCATCACATTGAATTATGTTTGAACTCTTCCTGAGGTCCCCTGCCTTGGAGCTGATGCATATAACCACATACAACCGGGGATCTCTCCCCCTGCCGAGTCTGATATTTTTTTGCAGCAGCAATGCACATGCATATTGAGAAAGGATTTACCTGAAAGAGTGTGATTAGATAACCCATCTTATAGTGAACATTAATTTATGAGTATAAGGCAAGTTCTTAAGGAGCCTCTTTTTAAAAAAAAACAAAAACCATTCATTGCAACCAAGCTAATCATTTATATCAGTCCTTGTACTCTGGTAGTAAAATTCCATAATTCACTTCCCTTTAGGAGATAACTCTTTCTCGCAGCACAAGCCTTTGCTAGCACTCCATATATTATCATCAATACTAAAAGATACTGTTATTTTACACTAACGACATTATTCATCATGAGTCTAAGACGGCCTGAGTCTGTGGCTGCCACCTGTGATTCTAAATAATGTTGCTCTCTTTGTAGGTAAAGGACTGCTCCTTGCTCAGATTAAGATGCACACAAAGGAAAGCCAACTAGCAGAAGCTAGCAGGGTGCCGTGTTTCTCTATCAGGGTTTGCAGGGCGTAACTCAGGATCATAAGTTTACATCCTAAACCACAGAGGCTCACCTGCTCACAACTAGCGAAACGATTGTGTTGGATTCCAAATGGCGCAACCATTATCCTTACCCTTTTGCTAGCACAACTGCTATTGTGCCGGTAGTCAGACAACTTTCAATCTGAGCCAATGTATAATTTTGTTGCTCCTTACAATAACAGGTATGGTAGTTATGTCATCTAGTGATGGTATATATAATATCATTTATGATTTTTGGGATTTTTGTTATTTCTAAAAAGCTCAAATATGGCTGGCAATAATAACGGGGAAATCTACTCAGTGGGAGGTTAAACCACAGAGCCTAGGACTTGCCAATCAGAAGGTTGGCGGTTTGAATCCCCGTGATGGGGTGAGCTCCTGTTGCTCGGTCCCTGCTCCTGCCAACCTAGCAGTTTGAAAGCACACCAAAGTGCAAGTAGATAAATAGGTACCGCTCCGACGGGAAGGTAAATGGCGTTTCTGTGTGCTGCTCTGGTTTGCCAGAAGCGGCTTAGTCATGCTGGCCACATGACCCGGAAGCTGTACGCCGGCTCCCTCAGCCAATAAAGCGAGATGAGCGCCACAACCCCAGAGTCAGCCACGACTGGATCTAATGGTCAGGGGTCCCTTTACCTTTACCTTACTACTCAGTGGGAGGTGCTATAAGACAGTAGGAGAGCATATAGCTTTGCCTGTAGAAGGTCTCAGGTTCAGTCTCAAAGGATCTCTGGTCTGGACTAGAAAGAACTCAACTGGAGTCCTTGGACAACCATATTAGACTATGCTGATTAGGACAGAGCCATGGCTTGACTCAGCATGAGGCTCAGTGGTTGTGGTTCAGTGGTGAACCCCAGGCTTTGCATGAACAAGGGTCCAGGGTTAGTACCCCAGCATCTTAGGTAGGACTGAGAGAGACCCCTAACTGAAACCCTGGAGAGCTGCTGCTAGTTGCTAGAGACCACACTGAGCTAGAAATCACTGTTATTGAACCTTGGGTCCCCTGATATTGTTGGATAACAACGCCCACCATCCCCGACTAGCTTAGTCTACAATGACTGTTAACAGTTCTCTGGTATTTCAGACAGGACATCCCTAGCCTTACCTGGAGATGCTGCGGATTGAACCTGAGGCCTTCTGCATGCACAGCAGATGTTCTATCACTGAATTATGGCCCTTCCCGTTTCCTGCCTCATTTCTTTATCTCCTCCCAGTCCCCTGTAGCTAAGATGGCACCAGCATCTGGGGCCATTTCTGTCGTTGTGACATTTTCAATGTGAACAAGTAATTTAGCTGAACGTTTTTTGTTGTTTCCCTCCCCCCCTCCCCTGCATGCCTTATATGCTGAGTTTAAAACCCATTAGCATAGAAGGTGGTGGGGGTGGGGGAGGAGAGAGGAAAGGAGCAGATGCAGAGCAAGGAATTCCTTAAGGGAGTCCATATTTTTACATATTTTGTAGGAAGGGAACTGTTGTTTCCCAGATGGTATTATTGAGCTAATACTGGTGAGTTTGCTTCCTGATAATGTAACCCCCTCCCCAGTTAATTGTGTTCTATTTAGTGACAATAGAGACATTGTTGGGTATATACACTGCACTTTTAAAGGGATTGTGTCTGAAAGGTGACTGCTTTGACTTGCTGGACTCATCGAAGAGTTATGCAAGGATATTCTTTCTTCTTCTTTTTTAATCCTTCCATCTTTTAATTTGCAAGGACAGCTGCCAGGCTCCCATCCCCAACACAATGTCAGTGATTCTTACTTGTGAGTAAGGAGGAGATCTTTATTTAGCCTAATAGTGACACAGACTCAACAAAGCACAAGATAAAGAAGTCAAGATTCCAAGGTAACTGAGTAAGGCAAGATTTTCACAACTGCACAGACACTTTGAAGATGTCTCAACAGGTTGACATGCCCCTCCTGCAAAACGTTTAAAAATGAGGTGGGGCAAGCTCACACACAGGCCTCTCTCACCCTATCATAGGAGCCAAATCTTAGGGGTTGAGGTCCCTTCACCCACCCAATAAAATATTTAAGTTGGCCACCCCCCCAAAAAAAAGTTTATGGGCATTCCCATTCAAATAGTGTGTGTGGGCCACATCTAGTGATTGACTATGTGGGCAGAGCTTACCTGGGCACCCACAATATTTTATTCAAGTTGGCACCCTTGCACCCCGTGAGTCTGCTGCATGCAGACTTCATTGGGGTGTATGCATCTGGTCCCTCCTACGAAGGCAGCCTCTGGATCTTGGCAATAAGAGTTTGTCCTTCCCCTCTATCTCCAGCTCTGCCCTCACCTTCTCATGCTTAGCCCGCCACCCTGGCTGGTCAAAGCCCCTCCCCAATGAGCCTCTATGCACCATTAGAGGGGTGGAGGAGAGAGCAAGCAACTTTGTTTCTCTCTCTCTGACCTCTCCCCTCCATCCTTGGGGAGGGGAGGCCTTCCAGTCCTTCCTCTGCTCCTACTTCCTCCTCCTCCTGGTCCTTTTGGGGCTAGAAAGGAAAAGAAATGAGCCAATGTGAAAGTTTTGGTGGCCAGCATTAAGGTGCAGTTTGTCCTGAAAACAGCCCAGTGGCCTGCTTCTTCTGCACCTTAGTTGTCAAAGGCCTGTCTGAATAAGAAGTTATTACCCTGTCAGTGCAAGGATAACAAAACGGGAGCCAAACTTACCTCTTGTGGAAGGGAATCCCACAGTATGAAAACATCCACAGAAAAGGCTCTCTCTTGTGTGAGAGAGAACTGTGCCTCTGATGTTGATGGGACCAAGGGAAGGTGCTCACCCAAGAATCTTAGCGCCTGGGCAGGTTTGTATAGGGAGATGCAGTCTTTCAGGTAGACTGAACCCACTTTTAAAAGTGGTCCACACTTCCCAGACTAATATGTGGATTTGAAGTCAGTTATCCTTCGGTTTCTGCCCATCTCTGAATTTTGCAATATAGTTCTCTGCACAAAAAATGTACCAAAATGTGAATTTTTGGGAAAACACATACCAAAATAACCTGAATTATTGTGCATTGAAAATATATATATATATCACAGATTGATGTAGAAATGGGACTGAAACCTGACAGGAACTGGAGATAGACAGATCCAGCCATCCCTACCAGGATGGGTCTAGTTCTCAAACTGCTAAAGTTCTTCTCTGGTCTTAAATGTACCCCATACAATGAAACCATCCCTTATTATTTTTTTAAAAAGCAACCAAGTGTGTTTAAATAATAAAAAGTAGATCGTTGTTAATGGTTAAAAGTTCATTGGCATTCCTTCCACTATAGAGCTGTCTTTAACATTTAGATCTTTGCAAACGGTCTGCGATTGACTCCCCAGTGAGACTGCCTTGTTCTTACTGTTGGAGAGGGGAAAATTAAATTCAATATGTTTGGACACAGGAAGCAGTGGTTTAAGATAAACTTTGCTGCCTAGACATTCCTGCTTGCCAAAGAAAGGGTGAATGTTGTGTCCATGTAGAGACAGCACAGCTGGATCAATGGTGAGAGATGGATTCTGTCTGGAATGGAGGGCCAAGAGGAAGCCAAGTTCATGTTGTGGGTGTTGCCAGTTTGACTTACAGCAAATATGTGCTGTTAACTAGAGCAGCTGCATGAAGAATATGGACAGGGGAGAAATTCAATTCAGCTCACATGTAAAGGCGAACCTCACTATTTCACACATTAGGAAACAATGGAAGAACCGAGGCACACTCAGCCTTTGAAATTCACACTTCTCTGAATTTTTCAGTGCATTTCCTGAGCCAAGTAATGTGTACAAAACTTAATTTACAGAATAAACTGCACTTTAAAATAGATACTTTAGTGAAAATAAGATACAAATTGCTTTGTGTATATGCATGTATTGGGCAAAATATGTATATTAGGCAAAAATTGCACACAACTATATATATTAAGAGAAAATTAATGGATATATATATATATATATATATATATATATATATATGGAAGAAATGTGGAGAAATGAACTTAAGACTGAAGAAATGAGAAACTGTGAGAAACTGTGTTACAAATTTCTCCAATCACTGCCTATAGACTGAGGGAAACTTGTTGCCTTGTAAAACAACATTTCCCCAAAATCTTTCACCCCACCACCATGAAAGGGTTGGAATTTCTGTTGCTTTTGGGTGAGCAAGGCAGGAAAAAAACCCCTTCAAAAATGGGTTCAGGACTTACTTGGGTGTAATACAAGAATGGTGGAGGGTTTCCTTTATCCACTTTAAAATATGTATTATAAAGGCACAATTGTGTCCTTTCTGCTCATAATGGACAATTACCCTTTCCATTTGCACTGACATGCTTTCTTTTCCTAGGGGCTGTATCAGAAAGATTCCCCAGAATGCACTTTGTTCCCAGATACTAGGAATACTAGGGAAAGGCTCTGGCTCAGTGGCAGAGCATCAGCTTTGTACATAGAAGGTCCCTGGTTCAATCCTTGGCATTCCCAGGAAGGGCTGGGAAAGACTCCCGGTTCAAAACCATGGAGAGCCACAGTCTCTCAGTATCAACAATACTGAGCTAGATGGACCAAAGGTTTCTGACTCAGTGTGAGGCAGCATCCTAAGGAGCTGTCTCATCCTGAAAGAGTGTCTCCACCCCCATCGTTCTGCCCGGACGCTGAGGTCCAGCGCTGAGGGCCTTCTGGCGGTTCCATCACTGCGAGAAGTGAGGTTACAGGGAACCAGGCAGAGGGCCTTCTTGGTAGTGGCACCCTCCCATCAGATGTCAAGGAAATAAACAACTACCTGACTTTTAGAAAACATCTGAAGGCAGCCCTGTTTAGGGAGGTTTTTAATGTGTGACATGTTAATGTTTTTTAATCTTTGTTGGAAGCCTTCCTGAGTGGCCGGGGAAACCCAGCCAGATGGGTGGGGTACAAATAATAAATTATTATTATTATTATTATTATTATTATTATTATTATTATTCCGAGCCAGACCATTGTCCCATCTATTTCACTACAGCCTACACTGACTGGCAGTGGCTCTCCAGAATTTCAGACACAGAGTCTTTCCCAGGGACTGAACCTGGCATGATCCTGCTTGAAATTTATATGGGCCCTAGAATTAAGCCCTTTTCACTATTGGGCATGTGTGTGTGTTATACTGTTTTCATGGTGTGTTTGTTTTGGATGGACGGAGCAATGGTGGGAAATGGGGGATTAGCCTTTGCCCTGGCAAAGCGGAAGGTTCTCTCCTGCAAGGGGCAGGTGCGTGTCAGGAAAGGCAAAGTGGAGATTTATAACCAAGCTCAATGAAGTCAGCCTCAGAGTATCATTCCAGTATATTTCTAAGGAGACGCTCAGGAAGAGATTTAAGTGGCACTTAATGGCCCTCCACCTACGAGCCTCGCTGTCAGGAGGTGCTAAATTAAAATGACGTACGCTGGAGCTTTGAACTTGGGGATCGGCTGCTGGGGCTTTTTACTAACATCCTGAGAAAGTCATCTCAAGTTCACGGAGGCTTAATTAAAATGCAAGGAGGTGGACACTTGGTGAACTCAACTCTCCCCTCCTCACCCATTCCCCCTCCCCAAGCCCTCCTGACCTATCCTCCTCTCAAAGCAGACAATATCATTTTCTTAAGAACACAGACCTGCATCTCTGGATCAAGCCAAGGATAGAGTTAGCTCACCATTCTGTCTTCATCCGTAGCCAACTGTGTGGTTTTGGAAGCGCACACTTAATAAGGTGGCCTTCGCTCTGTTGCTACATTATAGTCAGAGGCAAACTGCTTTTGTACATGGAGGCTTTCTCTGTTGTTTGACCTTATCCTGCTGCCAATCGGCTTCATTGGCTAACCTGAAAAGGTAGAATTACTTTATTTTTGTTTATTATGTTTATACTCCACCTTTCATCCAAGGTTCACAAGATGGTATACAAACTCCTCCCCATTTTAGCCTCACAGCAATCCTATGAGGTGGGCTAGGCTGGGAGTGACGGACTAGCCTGAGTTCACCCCATAAGTTTCATGACCGATTGGGGTTTTGAACCTTGGTCTCTTAGGTCCTAGCCTTGTACTGGGGGGGGGGAGCATAAGCAGATGACCAAAGGTTGCATAACAAGAACTAGCTATTGTGCAACAAGCTTCTGCATTGGATTCCTTTGTTGCACAGCCTTTAAACTCTGCCATCACTGGCCCAAGGACTCTTGCACTGGGAGACCAGAAAACATTGGCTATGGTCCTGCGTTTTTAAATCACTGGGCAAGGAAGAAACCTAGAAGGCAACAACAGCAACAGAACAGCCTGCTGGACCAGGCCAATGGCTCCACTAGTCCAGCATCACAGTGACCACCCAGATGCCTCTAGGAAACTCTCAAGAAGTATCTGAGCACTTTTAGTGGTTAAGAGTGGTAGACTCGTAATCTGGTGAACCGGGTTCGCGTCTCCGCTCCTCCACATGCAGCTGCTGGGTAACCTTGGGCTAGTCACACTTCTTTGAAGTCTCTCAGCCCCACTCACCTCACAGAGTGTTTGTTGTGGGGGAGGTAGGGAAAGGAGAATGTTAGCCGCTTTGAGACTCCTTCGGGTAGTGATAAAGCGGAATATCAAATCCAAACTCTTCTTCTTTTATCCCTGTGGCTTCCAGCAATTGGGATTCAGAAACATTACTACCTCTGACTGCGGAGGTGGAGCACAGTTATCCTAGCTAGTAGATATCAGCAGACTTATTCTCCATGGATATGGCCAATTCTCTTTTAAGGTCAATCAAGGTGGCTCTAACAGCTCCCCTAGCTTGTCCTGGCCCTTGGAGGCATAGCAGCTTGCCCCTGCAACCTGTGATTCAACAACAACAACAAAGCTCCATCATTTATTTTCCCACCACAAGGTGATTCATTCAGGTTTTGTGTGGATCCTGGTTCAAACAACAACTCTGTGTGTTCAGTTTGGCCAGAGGCCATCCCAGTGTATACTGGGATCCAACGGGCAAGGCGCTGAACCTAATCTGGACTTCACTTGGATCTCCACAGAGAGGTAATCAGGGAAAAAAACCCCCACCATAATTGAAAGCTGACTAAGAATGGTGAGTGGATCCAGAAAATCTTTCTGAGGTCCTCTCCCATCACCCGATGCAACTTTTTATTGTATTTACTTATTTAATTTGTATACCACCCTCCATCCATAGATCTCAGGGCAGTTCACAACATTAAAACAGTTCACAAGATTAAAAAACACAAAATGCATAATAAAAACAAGAACAAAAGCAAACCAATAACTCTTAAGCCATTTTTATTGTTACACCAATCCATAGGTGGTTTTTTTTAAAAAACCAAGTTAACCACAAGAATCTAACAAAACTCACATCTGTTGGCAAAATCTTTGAAAGGTATCACACACAAGTCAATCCCAGTATCCCATATCAACTTACATATCCCCTCTTTTCTCGTCTTGGCATTCATATATATATGTAATACCTAATCACTCTATCACTCAGGAAATATTAGAAAGCTGCAGTTGGGATCCTGCACTGACCTCTAAGTGTTTTAAAGAAGATACTAGCAGGGAAACTACTAGAAAGAAATGAGGTGGGGGGAGAGGAAGAGTAAGTGGTCTGTTTTATGTCAATGTTTCAGATTACCCCAGAAAGAAAGAAACAGACATATTGGGGTTGGTTTTTTTTTGCTTCTAGGAAGCTGGCTTTGGAAGGTGGGCAAAGCAATGAAGGCATCAGCAAGGATGTCAATACTAGATCAAAGGGATTCACCAAGTCGGCCAACAAGTGAACAGAGGCTCTGGGGACACTTGCAAGATTTCCTCCTTGCTTGGGCTTGTTGCATGTCTTTGCAAACTGAAAGTGTACAAGGCAGGGCAGCCCCCTTCCTCATCCTTGCAGACCCCCAAATTATTATTATTATTATTATTATTATTATTATTATTAGTCTTCAGGCTACCTTAAAGTATGCAATAAAAACAAAGAAGTTAGATTTTAAAGCAATGACTATTTCATGAGGAAACATAAATACTGCTTAAATGACAGAAAACCACTAAACAGGTTACAAAGAGCCATTGGCATTAATTAAAAATGTCATTAAAAGGGCCTTACCACAATAATATAAAAATATAATTTTAAACGCAGTTAAAACAATTTAGCCCCCCCCCCCAGTTGATGAGCATGGCCATTCTATTGGGATCCATGCACTGTGTCATGTGATTGATTATGTGGGGTGGGGCTTACTTGCCCCCACCCCATATTTTATTCAAGTTGGCACCCCTGATCAAAAGCATAGGCTGCATCCTAAGATATAGCCTAGTAATGGTCAGGGTAAAGAGGTGCCTCTTCAGCCTGTGATAAAAGCTATACAAGGAAAGTTCTAGATGTACCTTTGTGGGGCAGGAATTCCACAGGTGCCTCAGAAAATGTCCTCTCTTGGGCTGCCACATTCCAAACTTCTGAGAGTTACAGAACCACCAAGAGGGTAGTTCTGTAGGGATGTAACACCTGAGAGGGTCTGTAGGGAAGGAAGAAGTCTTTCAGATATCTGGAGATTATTTCAGATATCTGTATTATTTTTCTGGTGGCTATCCACCCTGAACATTACTGCATCATCATTTGGGGTGGGGGTGGGGGCACAGCAGCAACTAGAAGAGCAGCATTGCTGGTCATATGTTTTCTCTCAATTTTTTGCCCCCTCCAAAAACCACACCAATTGCTTCACGCACACCAGCACACACAAGTTTGCTGCCTGCAAGATTTGGGCTCAGCTGTGCTTTCAGCAGCTGCAAACAAGAAAAAGCTTTTGATATTTGTTCTCACCCTTGATGCAGAAGAGTCCACTGAGCTTCGCCCCAGACTCTACCCTAGGTCCTCAGGGTGTGCATAAGGCCCCCAGGCTCTTCCTCATGACATGCAGAACATCTCAAGTAGAAAGCCAAGCATCCCCATAAAAAAAGACAAAAGAGGGAGAAGAATCCAAGAAAGTCTGTGAACACGTTCCCATGCCTGATGCCTAATTGACTGTCAATCGAAGTGGACACTTATGGTATAGCCTGACCATTGCTCTGACTCAGTATAAAGCACATTTCTAAGAGCTTCCCTCACCACAATGCACCCAAACTTTAGAACTCCAAAATTGCCAACTCTGGTGCGGGCCTGTGCAAACTACCTCCAGCATGTTTTACTCCCCATGCTAAATGGGGGTGATGATGACAGGATTCTGTCCTATGTTTATGTGTTTGGTTTAATCTTAAGCTACATGCAGGTGGAGGTGTTGTACTGACTAGTCCGTGGATAAGCTCTCCATTTTCTCTCTCGCCCCCTCAGTTTTATGACCGGAGTGTTGTCTCTTCCTTCACACTGCACAAACCTTTAAAAGCAAATAAGCAAAGGCTCCAAATCTCTCCAGAGCAATCAGAGGATGTTCTTTTTCATCTCCCTCTCTCCTGTCCACCCCTGCCCACGCATGTAATTTTTCCTGGATAAAGTTCACATCCAAAAGGCTCAATTTCA